TTAACAACAGCAACAACAACAACTACTTTAACAACAGCAACAACAACAAAATAGACATTAACAACAACAACAACTTAGACATAAACAACATTATAAACATCCAATTAAAGACCCAAAATAGCATTGGCTATCGGTGACGTCATTATTCGACATTAATTGCGGATATTAACAACACGAAAATTGCTTGATTGCAAGCGAAACCTAACAAACAAGTATTCATACAAACAAACAACTAACAAACAAACAACCAACAAACATACAAACAAACATACATACAAACAAACAAACAAACAACAAACAAGCAAACAAACAAACATACAAACAACAGACAAAACAACCAACCAGCTACCAAAGAAATATACATACATACAAACAAACAAACAAACAAACAAACATACATACATACATACATACAAACAAACAAACAAACATACAAACAAACAAAAATCTTCTCTTTCTCTCTCTCTTACTTAATTATGCATTTTTGACAGGTGTAGAATCCTAGATTTCATGTTGTCATCTACTTTGTTTCAATTAAGCATACAATACAATACTATACAATGCAATACAATACAACACAATACAATACAATTCAATACACAACATACATCATAAAACAATACAATACAAAACAATACAAAGCAATACACACGGTATACGTATTACATACAAAAAAATTGTCTTTTTCTTTGTACAATTTTTGGGTGTATTTGTATACATACAATACAAATTAATACAAAATAATATATTTGTATATATACAATACAGATTAATACAAAATTGTTACACAATAATATATTTGTATATATACAATACAAATTAATACAAAATTGATATACATAATATTATATTTGTATATATACAATACAAATTAATACAAAATTGATATACATAATATTATATTTGTATATATACAATACAAAGTAATACAAAATGGATATACACAATATTATATTTGTATATATACAATACAAATTAATACAAAATTGATGCAAAATAATATATTTGTATATATACGATACAAATGAATACAAAATTGTTACACAATAATATATTTTTACAATATTCTATAAATTCTACCGAATGTTTCGGTAGAATTTATAGAATTTATAATGAATTTAATGAATTTATAGAATATTGTAAAGATCATGGTCTATTACCAACAAATAATGTATTTGTATATATACAATACAAATTAATACAAAATTGATACACATAATATTATATTTGTATATATACAATACAAATTAATACAAAATGGATATACACAATATTATATTTGTATATATACAATACAAATTAATACAAAATTGATGCAAAATAATATATTTGTATATATACAATACAAATTAATACTAAATTTATACAAAATAATATCACGTACATCTCAGAGAAGCAGCAGCTATAGTAGCAGTATTGAAAAATAGTAGCTATAGTAATCGGTAGTAGTAGTGGTATATGTAGTAACGACAGGAGCAGCAGAGAAGCAGCAGTAAAAATGATAACAGTGGTAATTGCTGGTAGTAGTACATGTAGTTACGACAGCAGCGACAATAACGTCAGATCCTAAGACGCCATGTGATTTAATGCAAATAAGCAGGCCAACTTGCTCTATGTTTATAGTGTCAACGACAACATCTCAATAGCTGAAAGCTGCTATGTGGCAGTAGTAGTATTAGTAGCAGCAGTAGTATTAGCAGCAGTAGTAGTAGTAGTAGTAGTAGTAGTAGTAGTAGTAGTAGTAGTAGCAGCAGCAGTAGTAGTAGTAGTAGAATAGTAGTAGTAGTAGCAGCAGTAGTAGTAATAGTAATAGTAGAAGTAATAGTAATAGTAGCAAGTAGTGTGTTACTGATAATGATAGTCTTAATGACGATGGTTTATTTTCTCTAGCTGAAGTGACCAGAGGTTTCAACGAACGAATGCGTGCCGAGCTTAAGAGAGTACACGCGAATCAACGCTCCATAAATTTCCCGCCATAATAGTCGCTGGATGTCTTTGAAATCGAAACCGGTCAGTACGACGAACATTCAGACTCTCTTGACCGTGACGTCATCTTTCAGCATGTTATGGCGTCAGTGGTGGTGGTGGTGGTGGTGCTGATGGCGATGATGGAAAAGATGATGATAACGATGATGAAGAAGATGATGACGATGACGAATTTCTTCAACTGATTAATGGCCAATCCTTGAATAATTCGTTGCATTAATGGGTGTCCCTTGATTGATGGTTCTTTGTGATGATGATGATGATGATGATGGTAATGATGATGGTGTTGATGATGATGACGATGGAGATGATGATTGTGGTGATGATGGTGATGACGATAATAGTAACGATAGTAATGATATTGATTTTTTCTTAGAACAAGCGAACTTAGAGACAAATGAAAAATGTGAAGTGTCTGGTCTCTCTCTTTCTCTCTCTTTCTCTCTCTCTCTTTCTCTCTCTCTTTTTTTTTCTCTCTCTCTCTCTGTGTGCTCTTTTTCTGTGTGTGTGTCTGCGTGTGTGTGTGTGTGTATGTGTAGGTTTGTGTGAATAATTTCAATTAACACCGCGGAAATCGCGGAGTGTTTGCGCTGGCACTTCATGACGTACAAAATGAAATTTCTAAACTATACAATCAAAGAATGATGCAGAGCCATTCATAAGTGAACATATAATTGCCCAAATGAATGAATGAATGAATGAATGAATGAATGAATGAATGAATGAATGAATGAATGAATGAATGAATGAATGAATGAATGAATGAATGAATGAATGAATGAATGAATGAATGAATGAATGAATGAATGAATGAATGAATGAATGAATGAAAAAAAAGGAAAATGAATTAATGAAAAAATAAAACGAACAATCGATCGATTGAACGAACAAATGAATGAATGAACAAACGAATGAATGAACAAACGAACAAACGAATAAATGAACAAACGGATGAATGGATTGTTGAAGTTTTGTAATTATGGCGAGTTTAAAAATAAAATCTGCACTCGAGAAAGCAGGTATGTCTGGGTTCAAGTTTATCATCATCATCATCGTCGTCGTCGCCATCTTTGTTGTGCTATCATTATCATAATTACTATCATTACCATTATGTTTGTTTGTTTTTTTCATCATCGTCGTCATCATCATCTTCATCGTCATCATCACCGTTACTCTAGATTATGGGTATGTGTTAATCTATATCAAATTAATCTATATCATCATCATCACATCGTTTCATCATCGTCATCATCAACACACCACCATCCTCACCACCACACCATCAATATCACTACCACCATCACCACCACACCAACCTCATCATCACCACACCCTCATCATCATCATCACTCTAGATCATGGGCATGTGGTCACTGTCGAAGGCGATGTGTGATGTGTGGACGTCTAGTGATGTGCTACTCTGCACCGCCAGCATTCTCAACCTCTGTGCCATCAGTATAGATCGGTTGGTCATAATTTGACTAATTTGGTATTATAACACGGCGCGATGGTGTATGGCTAAGGTGCCTGTCATTGCTGATGCCATGGTCCGGGTTCGAATGCAATAAGATCCCCGCCTATCACATGCAAAAGTGTTTGATTCGTTAATTCACGTGTATTTAATGATTAATGATTATAATTATTATAATTATTAAATATAATATTATTATTGGTGATGGTGGTGGTGAAGATAATGACCATATTAAGAAAAGATAATTAAATCACTCGATCATTATCATCACCACTACCAACGCTACCATTATCATCATCACCACCATCATTATCACCACCACCACCACCATCATCATCATCATCAAACAGGTACCTGACCATTACCCGCCCTTTCGAGTACGCCGCAAAACGTACCCCCTCCAGAATGATCCTGATGATCATGAGCGTCTGGGTGACCTCAGCCCTCATAAGCATTCCCCCGCTGTTTGGCTGGAGGGCCGACCCACCTCCGGGTCACTGCGAGTTGAGCCAGGACGTCGCCTACCAGTTCTACGCCACGGTCGGGGCGTTTTATTTACCCCTATTTGTCATGGTGACGGTCTACTACAAAATCTACATCGTATCAGCCCAGGTTCGTAAGACAGAAGCCAAGCTTCAACCATTCAACTGCCCAAACGCCTCCCCCAACAACCAGCAGGGGGGTTATTCTACGCCATTTTTTAGGAGTAGGGCTCCGACCAGAGTGCCCTCTCAGCTCTGTCTCTATGCCCCCTCCGTCACCCCGGTGAAAAATATCAGCAACAATAGTAATAATAATAATAATAGTAATAATGATAATGGTTTGGCTGGAAGGGGAGATGGTGAGAGAAAGAAGAGTGGTGCGTTTTTAGGTGGGTATTATGGTGATGATGATGATGATGATAATGATGATGATAAGGATGATGAGGATGATGAGGATGATAAGGGGAGGATGGTAATGATGATGACGATGTCAATGTTTTCCATATTGGTGACGTCATATATTCTACGACGATGATGAGGGAATGAATGAATGAATGAACGAACGAACGAACGACGAACAAACGAACGAACGAATGAATGAAAATAGACCGAGCGAGTAGAGAGAGAAGTTGTTATGGTGATAGTATTGAGCCGGGATAAATTTAAAATTCAGGTGTAGAATTTTATTTATGCTGAAAATTTATAATGGCTCTAATTGATACAAATGACTTGCTACTGGCATGTTTAATGATGACACGTGGAAACAAATTTTCTCCAACACATCATTGCCTGTCGCGATAGTGTAATGGTTAAGGTGCCTGACTGAGCTACTGCTGTGATGCCCGAGTTCGACTGCAAGAAAATTCCTGCCTATAACATAAAATGCCTGTGTGATGTGTTCATACTTTAAACAAACATTAAAAAAAGGTTTATGATAGAGCATCATTAAGATTATCACTATCATTTTAGGTATCTTTATTTAGTATCATCATTTTAGCATGGGTTTTGTTATGAAAAGAGATGTATCAAATTACCGATGAAGTTGACACCCAATTTAACCGAAGTCAAACCTGAATACTAAAAGACCAAAAATTTTGTAAAAAAATATTTTGGTAAAAAACAAGCAATTGAAAACCTAACAGTATGCAGCTATCCATCACAACTATCCAACACAGCTATTCAACACAACTATCCAACAAGTATCCAACACAGCTATCCAACATAAGTTTCCAACCACAAGTATCCATCAATTCTTTATCGAGATAGTATCTAATCTCTTGTTCAAATTCAGACGTTTCAATTGCTGTAATGGGCCAAAATAACTTTCGCACTAACCAATAACCAACAATTATTGCTCTAGAACTCCAAACTGTGATGATTATTATTATCGTTACTATCTCTCTCGTTATTCAATTACTGAACTTTTATCCTTTTTATCATCGTCATTAGCATCATCAGCTTTGCCATCATCATCGTCGTCACCATCATCATCATCGTCGTCATCATCAGCTAACCTGGGTGTCATCATCATCGTCATCATCTATCATTTAATTTAAAAATCTGAGAAGTTAATTAAAATGTCCATATTTTAATTTTCCGATGTCTCTGCGAGGTGTTTAAGTGCAATTTCTCCTTTGAACATTCACTCATTCATTCATTATACTTTTAATCATCCGTTCGTTCATTTGTTCATTTGTTACTTCGTTTGTTCATTCGTTTGTTCATATATAATATATTTTCATTCCAGTTTACAGATGTAATATTATTATTTTTATTATAAAAAACCAGGTAGCAGCATAAGTAATCTTAGCAATAATTTCAACACCACCAACAACAACAACATCATCAACAACAACATCAACATCAATAACAACAACATCAACAACAACAACATCAACATCATCAACAACATCAACAACAACAACAACAACATCGCGAGTAGACGCACGACCGCAACGACGACGGCCTCAACGACGGCCTCAACAACCACGCAACTCCTCGGCAACCGTCTAGAGGTCTACGATCCCCGTCTCACGCCTAAAACTCTCCCAAACTTATCCCAAAGACGTCTCTCCCAGCAACCACCACCACCCACTCATCACCTCACACCCACCCATCTGTGTGCCACCACCAACCACGTGGAACATTCCCTTGAGGTTAAATTTCACCAGAGGCATAGTTTCGATCTTGGTGGTGCCCTCTCGCTCAGTAGACGGACCAGTGCGGTGCCAAACTTGAAAAATGGTGGATTATTTGGGGTGTTTGGTGGTGGTTTTGGAGTTTTTTTCGTGTGTCTTGTGATGGATTTTAAGGGTTTTTATGGTATTTTTAGAATTTGGTGATGTTCAATTAGACTTTGTGTGAATGGTTTTATGGGATAGATTCAAAATACTGTTGAACTGTGAAATTGTTAATTTTTGTAAAAACTTTCAATCTTGTACACTAACCCCTAGAAAAAGCCGCCTCCAATCAGCGTTTGGGCCTCCCTCAACCAGCCCAACAACAGCAGCAACCACAACATTCCAAACTTTTCAACAGATCATCAACTTCGTCCAGAGAGCACAAAACCACAAAAACGCTGGGTATCATAATGGGCTCGTTCATTTGTTGCTGGCTGCCATTTTTCATACTTGCCCTGATTAGGCCCCTCCTCCCAGATCCGTCTGTGGTCCCGCATTGGTTAGGTCAGTTAGGGGCTTTGGAGTTCTATATTGTGATTGGTTGATTGGCTGGTCGGTCAGTTTGTCGGTTAAACAATTTTATTTAGTTTAATTATAAAACCATTTCGAGAGGAAAATATTTTCTGTGTTCAGAAGGATAATTCAATTAAGATGCCAATGTTATTCTTGTTATCATTAATGTCAATATTAAATTTTTTTTATAACAATTATTATTGAAACTACCAAAATTTGTAGTAGTAGTAGTAGTAATAGTAGTAGTAGTAGTAGTATAGTAGTAATAGTATTAGTAGTAGTAGCAGTAGTGGTAGTAGCAGCAGTAGCAGCCGCAGCAGTACGAGCAGTAGAAGCAGTTGTAATACATAGCGTGTATGCGTTAATAAATTGTCAAATAAATGTCATCTTAATACAATTTAGCCTTCTAGCAATACGGTATGATGATGTTATTATACGCATACCTGACATTAAAATTTGATTATTTTTCCATTGTTATTCATACTTTAGTATTGTGTTTTTTTATTTGGACCGTGGGATGGGGCAATGTATGTGTGTGTGTGTGTTGTTGTTGTTGCTTTGTGTGTGTTGTGTGTGTGTGTGTTGTCATTCTTATTTCCAGTATTTGCTATTTGGACCGTGGGATGGTGCAATGTATGGGTGTGTGTTGTGTTGTGTGTGTTTTTGTGTGAGTGTGTTGTTGTGTTTGTGTGTGTTTGGTTGATACTTTTGGAAACTAATTACGAAAGAATTAATGATAATCATAATAATAACAATAATATTGTTATTATTGCTATTATAATTTATAAATAAAAAAAAATTCTAATTATTCGAAATTATTTAATATCTTTTTGGCGCGAATTGGTCACGTGCGTGACACGTTTGGAAAATTTTTGGCGCCAAACAATCGGCACTTAGATAAAAAACTCTCGCCTGTTTGTCATGCAATTGTTGCTGTAAAAATATTTTTATCATCATCATCATCATCGTCGTCATCATCATCATCATCATCATCATCATTGTCATCATAATCATCGTCCTCGCCGTAGTAGTAGTAGTAGTAGTAGTAGTAGTAGTAGTAGTAGTAGTAGTAGTAGTAGTAGTAGAAGTAGAAGTAGTAGTAATAGTATTAGTTGTAGTTGTAGTTGTAGTAGTAGTAGTA